GCTGCAATCACCATCTGCAGTGATTTTGGAGCCCAAAAAACTAAAGTGCCACTGTTTCCACTGTTTCCCCATCTACTTGCCATGGAGTGATGGGATTGGATGCCATGATCTTAAGTTTTCTGAATGTTGAGCTTTAAGCCAACTTTTTCACTATCCTCTTTCACTTTCATCAAGAGGCTCTTTAGTTCTTCTTCGCTTTCTGCCATAAGGGTGGTGTCATCTGCTTACTGAGGTTATTGATTATTTCTCCCGGCAATATCGATTCTAGCTTGTGCTTCATCCAGCCCAGCATTTCTCATGATGTACTCTGCACAGAAGTTAAATAAGCAGGGTGACAATATACAGCCTTGACATACTCCTTTTCCTATTTGGAACCAATCTGTTGTTCCATGTCCAGTTCTAATGGTTGTTTCTTGACCTGCATACAGGTTTCTCAAGAGACAAGCCAGGTGGTCTGGTATTCCCAGCTCTCTCAGAATTTTCCACAGTTTATTGTGATCCACACAGTCAAAGGCTTCGGTACAGTCAATAAAGCAGAAATAGATGTTTTTCTGGAACTCTCTTGCTTTTTCGATGATCCAGTGGATGTTGGCAATTTGATCTCTGGTACCTCTGCCTGTTCTAAAACCAGCCTGAACATCTGGAAGTTCATGGTTCACATATTGTTGAAGCCTGGCTAGGAGAATTTTAAGCATTACTTTACTAGTATATGAGATGAGTGCCATTGTGCAGTAGTTTGAGCGTTCTTTGGCATTGCCTTTCTTTGGGACTGGAATGAAAACTGACCTTTTCCAGTCCTGTGGCCACTGATGAGTTTTCCAAATTTGCTGGTATATTGAGTGCAGCACTTTCACAGCATCATCCTTTAGGATTTGAAATAGCTCAACTGGAATTCCACCACCTCCACTAGCTTTTTTCGTAGTGATGTTTCCTAAGGTCCACTTGACTTCACATTCCAGGATGTCTGGCTCTAGGTGAGTGATCAAACCATCATGATTATCTGGGTTGTGAAGATCTTTTTTGTAGAGTTCTTCTGTGTATTCTTGCCACCTCTTCTTAATATCTTCTGCTTCTGTTAGGTCCATACCATTTCTGTCCTTTATTGAGCCCATTTTTGCATGAAATGTTCCCTTGGTATCTCTAATTTTCTTGAAGAGATTTCTAGTCTTTCCCATTCTATTGTCTTCCTCTATTTCTTTGCACTGATCACTGAGAAAGGCTTTCTTATCTCTCCTTGCTATTCTTTGGAACTCTGCATTCAAATACATGTATCTTTCCTTTTCTCCTTTGCTTTTCGCTTCCCTTTTCACTGCTATTTGTGAAAATTTGGCCTTGGAGTACAGAATGAAGCAGGGCAAAGGCTAATAAGAGTTCTGCCAAGAGAACACACTGGTCATAGCAAACATCCTCTTTCAACAACACAAGAGAAAACTCTATACATGGACATCACCAGATGGTCAACATTGAAATCAGTTTGATTATATTCTTTGCAGCCAAAGATGGAGAAGCTCTATACAGTCAGCAAAAACAAGACCGGGAGCTGACCGTGGCTCAGATCATGAACTCCTTATTGCCAAATTCAGGCTTAAATTGAAGAAAGTAGGGAAAACCACTAGACCATTCAGGTATGACCTAAATCAAATCCCTTATGATTATACAGTGTGAGAAATAGACTTAAGGGACTAGATCTGATAGACAAGCGTCCCTGATGAACTATGGACAGAGGTTTGTGACACTGTACAGGAGACAGGGATCAAGATCACTCCCAAGAAAAAAAATGCCAAAAAGCAATATGGCTGTCTGAGGAGGTCTTACAAATAGCTGTGACAAGAAGCAGAATACTGTGAATAGTTGCTGGATTTGAGTCACACTTATCAATCAAATACAAGGTTTCATATAAATCATGTTAACCATCATTTTTTTTTTTGCTGTTGCCAAAATATAATCTTCCAAATTTTTATAATTACAACCATTTAAATTCAAAAGTAAAATATTCTCACTCCAACAAACTATCCTTATTCTTCTGAAATTACTAGTTAAAACTGAGTATTCTCCTACATTTTTATTGCTTACATATACCTGTTTACACAGGTATACAGCTGTTTACACACTTCCCTGGTGGTTCAGAGGGTAAGGCGTCTGCCTGCAATGCGGGAGACCCGTGTTCGATCCCTGGGTTGGGAAGATTCCCTGGAGAAAGAAATGACAACCCACTCCAGTATTCTTGCCTGGATAATCCCACGGACAGAGGAGCCTGGTGGGCTACAGTTCACAGGGTCACAAAGAGTCGGACACGACTGAGCGACTTCACTTCACCTGTTTACACCGGATTCATTTATTTAAATGGTTCATACTATATATATACATAATTCTATAACTTGTTTTTATTAATATCTAAGATAATCAGAGTCTTCAAGCCAATATGCTTAACAGCTATGTTGCTATTGTTGTTTAGTCACTAAGTCGTGTCTGACTCTTTTGCAACCTCACGGACTGCAGCCCATCAGGTTCCTCTGTCCATGGGATTTCCCAGGCAAGAATACTGGAGTGGGTTGCCATTTCCTTCTCCAGGGGATTTTCCCAACCCAGGGACTGAACCCATGTCTCCAGCATTGGTAGGTGGATTCTTTACCAATGAGCCACCAGGAAAGCTTAACAGCTATACCTCATCATTTTTAGTATCTGTAATAATGTGGGCATGCCATAACTTTACCTTCCCAGGTGCGCAGTGATAAAGACTCTGCCTGCTAATTCAGGGGACACAAGAGATGCAGGTTAGATCCCTGGATGGAGGAAGATCCCCTGGAGTAGGAAATGGCAACCCACTCGGGTATTCCTGCCTGGAAAAGCTCATGAACAGAGGAGCCTGGCAGGCTAGTCCATGGGGTCACAAAGAGTCAGACACAACTGACCATGCATGCCGCAATTTAACATATATTTAGGATGTTTCTGGGTTTTTGCTATTACAAATAATACTACAATTACTACAGTTGTATATTTCTTTAAATACTGGCCCTTATATTTCTATCAGATAAATCCCACGAAGAATTCCTGAGTCAATTAACAGCATTTAAATAAATATTGCTATGTTAAGTTCCTCAAAAGCAGTTGTTTCTTACAGACTCCCCAATACTTCGAGGGCAACTGTTTTCCCCATACCAGTGTCAGTACTAAAAATTATCATATTCATTTCTGCCCATCTGACTGGGTGGAAATTAGTGATGGAGGGCATCTTTTCATATGTTCTCTGCTGATTTGCATTTCCCCTTTAGTAAACTGCCTGTTCTTATCCTTTACCTTTGATTCTATTGGACTGCCTTTTTCTTATTAATTTGTAGAAACTTATGTGTCTCATCATGCGAAGCTTTTAAAATGTATCTGCAAAAATTCTGTTAATTTTTTCTTCCATGCACTCTGAACTCTGTATCTTACTTAGGCATCCTACACTATATCACCTATATTTTTCCTAATTATTTTATTACAATTTGGTTTTTGTTTTTAGTTTACACTTAAATTTTTAATTCATCTAGAATTTATTCTTGCAGTGTCATGACTGAGGAGTTGTCCCAACACCACTTATTGAATTATCCATCTATAAATGCCTCCTCCTAGAGTGATCACCACAAATAGCTAAGATGGCAGACTGATAAAATTCTTAGAAACTCCTAAATTTCAGTAATTGAAGCAAAGTTCCAAATTGATTAAAAGATATTCATTTTTTCCTTAAAAGAAATCACACATTAGGGGAACATGCACACTATATACCAATATCAGTATACAACTGTGAAATATTTTAATATAGCAATCTACATTCATGATCTAACATTTTAAAAAACATGAACAGTAAAAGCAAATAATCATTGCTTGAAATCTCAAGATTATTCATTGATTCAGGTCATGAATACTTATTGAGCACCAACTGACAGGTCCTCAAGATACTAGAAACAATATAAGTATTATTCCTGCCTTCAAGAAGCTTGCAATCTAGTGGGGGCTTCCCTCACTTTTAGAAGACAATGTCTTTGAGTGAGAAAAAGAAAAAAGAAATGAATGTTAACACAAATGTAATGAAAAACATTTTGGCAAATTCTATGACATTTAATACTTTTCATTTCAAAAATTCTACCTTATTGCAAACGTACCTAAGTATCCTAGTAAGTGAATATTTACCGTACTCACAATGAAAATACTTCTAGGACGTTTAAGACTAACTCCATTTAAAAATTAACCCATCAACCTATATCTACAATAGTCTCTCACTTTCTCATCAATATTTAATATCTTTCACTACAGTAAATAAGAACCTCGATAACAAATATATTCAATAACAGAAACTTTCAAAATATATTGCAAATCTATTTACAACAGCCATGTTCAGTCCGCCAAGTCAAAGGTGTTTCAAAAATTCATGCAGCCTTAAAAATGTGTCAGTGAAGCTGGAGACCTAGCAAATGGCAATATTGTGCTGCTCGGAGAGGAAACTTCATTGGCCTCTCAAATGACAATGGCGACTCATTAGTGACAAGCACCTTAAACCTCAGGTCCCACACCGAGGCTGCCCCCACACTTAACTCTGAAGCTCTCGGAGATGGCCACGCCCCCACCTTAATTCCAGGCCACAGCGTTCCCCACTTATCCCAACACCTCCAGACCCAATGGGTAGCTGGACAAAGCACTGCCCAGTAAAAACGGATGGGATTCCCACTCCTCCGGGCTGACCGTAGCCGAGTTTCTCCCCCTCAGTCTTCTCACCCAAGAGTTGGCGGTCAGTGCCCGCCTCTATCCCGAACCTTGGGTTCAGAGTCTAACGCTGCAAGGCTGGAGGAAAGCTGCAGTGCTTAAACCCGCACTGCTCCCTACGACTACCCCACGCCGGCCCCCGCCTCCGTCCGGGTCCGCGGCCACACACGCTACCTGCGATCTGGGAGACTAAGGCTTCCGCAACTAGAGACATGTCGGCTGGGCGGCCCTGCGCCCGCAGTTCCTGCTCCCCGCGATCCTCAGCGAACTCCCGCGCAACCCCGGCGGCTCCTGGCACCTAACAGGCCTGGCCCCGGCTGAAGCTCGGACTCCCACAGCCCACCCCGCGGCGGCGGCAGACCACCGGCTGAGACTCCAAGGTTACCACCAGGCCAGGCCAGGAACTTCCGGCGCAGCTGACAGCGGCGCGCGAGCGCTTCCGGGGGCCCCGCCTCCGCCCTCTCTGGCATTTCCTGTCCCCGGGCTCCCGGCCGCTGGGGGCTACCCCAGCAAGGGAGAGGGAGAAGGGAAGGGTATTTGATTCCCGACTCTGGCGTACAGGGTGGGCGGGTGTACCCCAGAAGTTTTCAGTTTCCTTTCCAAGCGAAATTTTTGTAAGCAAATAAGTTTTTTTTAAGTGATTTCAAACAAGAGGCAGTTGTTTGCTCATGATTCTATGTGCTCACTTAGTCGTGACCAACTCTTTGCAACCCCTTGAGCTGTAGCCCGCCAGGCTCCTTTGTCCATGGGATTTTCCAGACGAGTATACTGGAGTGGGTTGCCGTTTCCTTTAAATCTTATGTTTATACAATTTTTAAAGGTTAAACTCCATTTACATTACAAAATATTGGCTATATCCCCTGTGTCGTACAATAAATACATCCCTGTAGCTTATCTTACATCCAGTAGTTTGTATCTCCCACACTCCCACTCCTGTATTGCCCCTTCCTCCTCCTCACTTGTAACCATTAATTTGTTCTCTGTATCTTTTTTTTTTGTTACATTCACTACTTTGTTGTATTTTTTAGATTCCACATATTAGTGATATGATAAAGACAAGTAGCATTTCTAAGCGTCCACTGAATACCAGACTTAAAATATATATACAGTATTCTATTTCATTTCATCCTCTAAACAAGCCGGTGAGATCTTATTGCCCTTTTACAGGTAAAGAAACAGGCTTAGGAAGTTTAAACTGCCTGCCCAGGGAGTCTGCTCAAGCCCAGATTTCAAATCCACATTAATTTCCTGTATTTAGCTACTGTTGATTGGTCCCTAGACAGACATTAACGTTTAATTATTTACTCAACCATGCTTGCCAGAAAGAAGGTAGCTGGAGCAAATAAGAAAGTGAAAGTCACTCAGTCCTGTTGGACTCTTTGCGACCCTGTGGACTATACAGTCCATGGAATTCTCCAGGCCAGAATGCAGGAGCGGATAGCCATTCTCTTTGCAAAGGGATCTTTCCAACCCAGGGATGGAACCCTGGCCTCCAGCATCGCAGGTGGATTCTTTACCAGCTGAGCCACCAAGGAAGCCTGAGGCTTTAAAAGGTAGGTAGTTTGCCCGAGGTCACAATATATAGGTACACTGTATGTGTATACATACAAAGGGATATTATTCAGCCATAGAAAATAACGAAATACTGCCATTGCAACAACATAGATGGACCTTGAGGGCATTATGCTAACTAAATAGGTCAGAGAAAGAAAATACCATATGATCTCACTTATACATGAAACCTAAAAATAAAAATAAAAAAAATCCAGAAGAAATGAAAGCTTACAGTTACAGAGAACAGATTGGTGGGTGACAGAGGCAGGGTGTAAGAAATGTGTGAAAGAAATCAAAAGGTACAAACTTCTCTAGTTTTGAAATAAGTCAAGAGTATATAATGTTCAGCACAGCAACTATAGATAATAATGTATTGCATATTTAAAAGTTGCTAAGAGGATAAATCCTACAAATTTACATCACAAGAAACACTTCTGTGACTATGTAGAATGACATGTTAACTAGATGTACTGTGGTGATCATTTCACAATACACACAAATATTGAATCTTTATGCTGTACATCTGAAACTAATATAATGTATGTCAATCATAGAGCTTCCCTCTTAGCTAGGATGGTAAAGAATCTGCCTGCAATGCAGGAGACCAGGGTTTGCCCCTTGGGTTGGGAAGATCCCATGGAGAAAGGAATGGCAACCCACTCCAGTATTCTTGCCTGGAGAATCCCATGGACAGAGGAGCCTGGTGGGCTACAGTCCACGGGGTTGCAATGAGTCAGACACAACTGATCAACTAACACTACTACTACTACTACTACTACTATGTCAGTCATACCACAGTAAATTTAAAAGTCAGATAGCTTACTAAGTTTCTGCAAAGAAACATGATGTTCTGAGAATTACCGTCCATGACATTTAGAAAGCAATGTCTTTATGCTTCCATAGCTCTATTACAGTTTTTGGTTCATAGTTCTGCTTCTTTAGTATATTAGTTTCATAACACAACCATAAATTGGGTGGCTAAAAACAATAGGAATGTATTCTCTCAAAAATGTGGAGGCTCAAAGTCTGAAATCAGGGTGTCATCAGAACCATGCTTTCTCTCCAAGCTGCCGGGAAGAATTCTTCCCTGCTTCTTTGTAGCTTTGGGGGGTTGTCAGCTATCCTTGGCCTTCTCTGGCTTGTAGACACATCACTCAAATCTTTGCCCCCCATCATAATATGCATTTTTGCTGTGTGTCTCAGTTCAGTTCAGTAACACAGTCGTGTCCGACTCTGCGACGCTATGGACTGCAGCACACCAGGCTTCCCCGTCTATCACCAGCTCCCGAAGCTTGCTCAAACTCATGTCCAACGAGTCAGTGATGCCGTGCAACCATCTCATCCTCTGTCGTCCCCTTCTCCTTCTACCTTCAATCTTTCCCAACATCAGGGTCTTTTCAAATGAGTCAGTTCTTCACATCAGGTGGCCAAAGTATTGGAGTTTCAGCTTCAACATCAGTCCTTCCAATGAATATTTAGGACTGATTTCCTTTAGGATGGACTGGTTGGATCTCCTTTCTGGGACTCTCAAGAGTCTTTTCCAACACCACAGTTCAAAAGCATCAATTTTTCTGCACTCAGCTTTCTTTATAGTCCAACTCTCACATCCATACATGACTACTGGAAAAACCATAGCTTTGACTAGATGGAATTTATTGGCAAAGGAATATCTCTACTTTTTAATATGCTGTCTAGGTTTGTCATAGCTTTTCTTCCAAGGAGAAGGCGTATTTTAATTTCATGGCTGCAGTTACCATCTGCAGTGATTTTGGAGCCCAAGAAAATAAATTCTGTCACTGTTTCCATTGTTTCCCCATCTATTTGCCATAAAGTGATGGGACGGGATGCCATGATCTTAGTGTTTTGAATGTTGAGTTTTAAGCCAACTTTTTCACTCTCCTCTTTCTCTTTCATCAAGAGGCAAGAGGCTGTGTGTCTATGTGGGCATATTTCCCTCTTCTTATAAGGGCACCAGTCATTGGATTAGGGCCCACCTCATTTAAGATGACCTCATCTTAAGTTGATTTCATCTGCAAAGACTATATTTCCAAATAAGATCACAGGTACCAGGGATTAGAAATTTGTACCTTTCTTATTGTGGGAGAGAAGGGACACAATTCTACCCACTTCAGTAGATAATTTCTTTTAAGGATAAAGCAACATTTGTGGGCTTTCCCCATGGCTCAGTGGTAAAGAATCCGCCTGCAATGTAGGAGACTTAGGAGATGTGGGTTCAATACCTGGGTCAGGAAGATCCCCTGGAGGAGGGCATGAGAAACCACTCTAGTATCCTTGCCTGAAGAATCCCATGGACAGAGGAGCCTGGCGGCTTACAGTCCATAGCGTCACAAAGAATTGGACATGACTGAAGTGACTGAGCACACACATCAGTATCACCCTCTGCAACCAGGAAACTCGCTAAACTAAATTTCAACTTAACCAAAAACTCACGTGGACATAAAGATAGAGGTGTTTAAGAAGCAGCAGCATCTTGCTGGCTGAGATTCAGAGTTGCCAAGAAGTAGAGATAATAGGTTTATCTCTTGGGCTTCCTGCATAGCTCAGTCTCTAAAGCATCTGCCTGCAATGCAGGAGACCTGGCTTCAATTCCTGGGTTGGGAAGATCCCTTGGAAAAGAAAATGGCAACCCACTCCAATATTCTTGCCTGGAGAATCCCATGGACAGAGGAGCCTGGCGGGCTACAGTTTGTGGGATCGTAAGAGTCGGACACAACTTAGTGCTATCTTTTTCTTTCTTTCTTTCTTTCTCTTTCTTCCTTCCTCCCTCCCTCCCTCCCTCCCTTCCTTCTTTCCTCTTGTGCTGAAGGAGTTAACGCTGATAATAAAGTGTATGCTATGCCCAGTTTCCTCCTCCTCATCCCATGAGTGACACTGACCAAGAGAAATGAACTGTTCCAGGTACTTAAGTGTCAATTGAAAGAAAATCTTTCGGTTCCTGTCTGTTCTCTGTATAGCGGAGAATTATATATAACTTTTAAAAGTGAAGAATATCCATCATCTATTCAAGTTCTATTACCAGGTTTAGTTTGTCACCTTTAAAGCTGAAGATAGAAGGTTTTGACTGCTTTTTGACACAGTGATTTTTTTTTAAAAGATTTCTCCATATTATAGACCTTGTTTAGGAACCTGAACCAAAGCCCTGAGAAAGCGCTAAGAATTTGGATGGACAAAAACAAAATAAAATGAGTCCACCAGGCAGAAGTGAGCCCCAGAATGAAAGAGAATGGTCAGAGCAGGGACTGCGCATACATATAAAGGAAACAGAGACATTAGAGGAAGGAGAATTCGCCCTTGAAATTTCAGTTAGGTATCTATGACTAGATGCATGGAACGTGGATGAGCTGGGCTAGCTAAAAGGCATTGGGTTGGGACTGATACCAATCTTGTTGTAGCAAGCTTTTGAGAAAAAGAAAAAAAGATCTGCTGGGGGAAACTGTCTATACTCAACTCTTTCTTCACTGTAGCCAGAGAAACTGAATCATTGGTGCCATATGGGTTCACTTTTTCTCCCTGACTGACCGTTCTTTGCTTCCCACACAGGCTAATTTGGGCTGGAAATAATCTATAATGTGGGAGGTCTTTATTACTGAAAATTAAATCCAATAAAATGCAGATGTCCTGACGGTGCCCACAAACAAGTTGTCTTTGTAATAGTCAACTGGATAAAATATATTTATGCATCTGTATTAGAACAACTGGCAGATTTAAAACTGAAGGTCTGTTTAAGATCACCCTGATTAAGAAAAATACAAGAAAACAAGCCACTGGAATTTTTAAGAATGAGGTTAAAAAAAAGTGCTAAGGAATTCATATGTTACTAAAAGCTTAATCACATAATTATTTAAAATAAAATATTAATGCATGACACTAACAGCCTTATTGTTAGCTCTAATAA